CCCGCCGAGGCGGAGGCCGGGCTGCCAGCTCGTCGGCGCCGGCTCCTAACCCGCCCTGTGCAGGGCGATGGCTGCCCCGGCGCTGGCGAACGGCCGCCAGGGGGTGGAGGGCCGGGTCTGGCCTCGGACCCCATCCCGTGCCCTCCATTTCCACCCAGAGCAAAGCCAAACGAGCTCTCTGTAGCAGTTTCCACTTGGCTAGACTGAGCGGGGCTGGCGGGAGCCGCGGAGGGGTTGGGAGTTCAGTCTGTCAGCTGACCAGACCTCCAGCTGTCAGGACGCTGGTGCTCCCGGGGAGAGACTGACAGGCAGAATCAAGTGTGCGGTCGGCTGGGGGATAGGTGTGAGCTGGGGGAGATCCGTTGGAGATTCAGGTGGGGGTGGTGCGCTGCGCAGGGACTTGAGTGGAAGCTGGGCCCTCATCCCAGCCTCAGCATGGCGCTCGTTCTGAACGTCAGTGGAAGCGTTTCCTCAGCCAGGGACACCTTGCCGCGGCTGCCGTGTGCGTGTGCTTTGCAACCCTGGTGCAGGGACTGTGCCCCCAGGCTGGGGGCTGAAGAAGGCTGCCAGGCAGTAAGAATGGAACCTTTAGCCCCCCCAGTTGAAGGGATGCGGATGGGTGAGACTAAAGTGGGGAGGGGTGAGGGAGCACCAGTGGGAACCTCACTAAGGGGGAGCCCACAGCCTGGGAAGCAAAGTCAGGAGCCTAAGGTTGGTCACCAGTGCAGGCAGGGGCAGCAGGTGGCCTGGGGCTGGGGGTCCGCGGGGCCTGGTGTGCACTCGGTCCTGGAGACTGGTGGTTGGGGGGAAGGAAGGGCCTGGGGTTGCCTGGGCTGGCCTGGGTCCTCTGCAACTGGGGGACAGCGTCCGGACAAGGTGTGGGTGTTGGTCCCTGCTCCCGGCCTCTCAGGTTCCCTTATGCCTCAGGCATGTGAGGCTTTGTCCCAAGGTGGGGCCCAGATTCTCGCGGGCAGCTTGGGGGAGACTAGAGACAGGCCCAGGCCTTCCTAAGCAAGCTTGTGTGCTCAGTTAAAAGCCCAGACCGCTGGGCCTTTCTGCCTAGGGGTGGGGAGACAGGCGGAGGCCCGGCCCCCACCCCTGGGCTGTCCGCTGCCACCCCACCCACAGCTGGTCTGTGTCTCCTGCCACAGACCCAGCTGTGCTGCCAGCGCGGAGAGCCGGCTGCTCGTTCTCAGCGAGCTGCTGGAGACAAAGGCCCGCTCCCCGCTTTACCAAGAAGGGGTGAGCAACGCCCTGCTGAAGGTGGCTGAGTTGGGGCTGACCCGGGCGGCTGACGTCCTGCTGAGGAACGGGGCTGACCTCGGCTTTGAAGGTCAGTTGGGGCCAGGGTGGCTGTGTGCTGGTCAGTGAGGCCCAGCTGGGTGAGGGGGTGTCTCTGGGCCTTGGGGCTTCTCCTTCCCCGCCTCCGGAACCGTTTCCCTCCTTTCTTCCTGGGTGAGAGGACCCGCACCCTGTGGTGGCCCTGATGCTTCTGTTCCTGGACCACTCTGTTGGCGCTTGCCTTTGATGGGCGTAGCAAGCCCAGCTCGGCTGTTGCTCCCCTGGTGACAGTGCGGCTGCTGGCTGTGTCCTGCGCTCAGGGGTGGTCATTTTCTGCCACTGAGTCAGGGGTTTTTGTTCTTGGCACTGGGAGTGGGGCACACGAAGAAGCCCTTCTGGGCCCAAGTCATGGCCTCACCGCGCTGGCCTCTGCAGGTGGGGGTGGCAGTGATACTCTGAGGGTGAGGTGGTGTCTGCCGGGAGACCACGTGTGCCGGCGCAGGATTCTGGGAGACCCCCCCCAACTTCAGGACAGCCTCCAATGAGCCCCTGGAGGCTCAGTGCTGAGCACGGGGCACCCCTTCCCCATTCACGTAGGACCCGGCTTCAGGCATTGGCTGGAATGGCCACTCGGCGCTCGACCTGCCAGCGGCCCTTGGTGGTCTGATGCAGGGCCTGTGTCCAGGGAGGACAGCTCTGTCCGACCCCCCAGGGATGGGCGCCCAGGAGGGCGGGTGGGGACCGGGGCCAGGCGCATCCTGGATCCCGCGGAGCACAGGCCTGCACCTAGCGTGGTGTCTGTGCCCGCAGACCCGGTCACCTACTACACGGCCCTGCACATCGCCGTCCTGCGGAACCAGCCTGACATGGTGGAGCTGCTGGTGCGCCATGGGGCCGACATCAACCGCAGGGACCGGGTGAGAGCCGGAGGCTGCGGGGTGGGGGTGGGGTGCACCGCCCAGGCCCGGCCCGGCCAACCCGCCATGCTCTTGCCCAGATCCACGAGAGCAGCCCCCTGGACCTGGCCAGCGAGGAGCCCGAGCGCCTGCCCTGCCTGCAGCGCCTCCTGGAGCTTGGGGCCGACGTCAACGCAGCCGACAAGCATGGTGGGTACCGCTGGAAAGCGGGGTGCCCCGGTCCTGGCTGGGCTCAAGAGGGAAACCCCAGTGCCCCAGGACGAGGGCTCGGCAGGGGCCTGCAAGGGGCACCGGCACCTCAGGCGTGTCGTCTGCCCCGAGGCCGTGAGCGCCCCCAGGTGCCATCTGTAGGAGCCAAGGGCACGTGCCCAGCCCCGTGCTCACCAGCTGGCAGGCCCCACCTGGTCTCACCGCCCCCTCCGGCCCCACATTTGTGTGGGGGGAGCTGGGTGCCAGTCTCCTAAGTGTGTTTTTTCATTCTTGGAAAGCCAAGACCAGCACCGGCTCCCGCCTGACGCTCCGTCACCCCCGCGCCCTCGGTGTCCGCACGCCTGCCCGGCGACATCCTCCATGCTTTTATCTAACTCCACTGCAGTAATTGCCTTGTGTCCCCCCATTGTCTTCCCGCGGCTGAGCGTCTCCCAGTGTGCACACGTGCGCGTCGCCGTCCTCCTCTCCCTCCCCGCGGAGCGCGGGAGAGCTGTCCCGCTCCCCGGCGGCGTCGGGCATTCTTAGTGCTGCAAGTAGAATCTTCGCATTGAGTCTCTGGTGTTTCTTGCGGGGCCCGTTCAGTGTTGAATTCCTTTTCGTCGGGGAAATTCCTGTTTTGGAAGCTAGGCCAGCAGCTGCAGCGCCCGGGCTGGGGCCTCTTCTGCCCACCCACTCCCCTGTCCCCCGCAGGGAAGACCGCCCTGCTCCACGCCCTGGCCAGCAGCGACGGGGTGCAGATCCACAACACCGAGAACATCCGGCTCTTACTGGAAGGAGGTGAGGCTTGGGGCCGCCCCCGGCCCAGCCCCCTTGCTAGGCGCCTCACCCTGAAGTGCCATGGCCCCTGCGAGCGTCTGGGGCCTTCTCCCCTCTTATCCCCGCTGGCTCTCCTAGGGGCAGACGTCAAGGCGACCACCAAGGACGGGGACACCGTGTTCACGTGCATCATCTTCCTGCTGGGGGAGACCGTGGGAGGGGACCAGGAGGAGGCCCAGATGATCAACCGCTTCTGCTTCCAAGTGACGCAGCTGCTGCTGGCTCACGGGGCCGACCCCAGCGAGTGCCCCGCCCACGAGTCCCTCACCCACATCTGCCTCAAGAGCTTCAAGCTGCATTTCCCTCTGCTGTGCTTCCTGCTGGAGTCCGGGGCCGCCTACAACTGCTCCCTCCACGGCGCCTCCTGCTGGTCTGGCTTCCACATCATCTTCGAGCGCCTGTGTTCCCACCCCGGCTGCGCCGAGGACGAGAGCCACGCCGAGCTGCTGCGCAAAGCCGAGACCATCCTGGACCTCATGGTGACCAACTCCCACAAGCTGCAGCTGCCCGAAAACTTTGACATCCACCCTGTGGGCAGCCTGGCGGCCAGGATCCAGGCCCTCCACCGCTCCCTGCGGCAGCTGGAGAGCTACCCCCCGCCCCTCAAGCACCTGTGTCGCGTTTACATCCGGCTCTACCTCCAGCCGTGGCCTGTGGACGCCAAGGTCAAAGCCCTGCCTCTCCCCGACAGGCTCAAGTGGTACCTCCTCAGTGAGCACAGCAGCACCGCAGAAGACGAAGTCTGAGGCCCCGGGCGGAGGGAGCAGGGTCTGGACAGCCGTCAGCCTGTGGGTGTGGCCTCAGGCGAGTCCTGTCACCCGGAAACCTGTGGGTGCGCTGCTGGCCCCGGCTGGGGAGGAGACTCAGCCTGTGCCGAGGTGGCGGGCGAGCATGGCAGCTGCGTTTTTCCAGTGCAGGCTTGTTCTGTCTTCCTGGGAGCCCCCACCCCCAGCCTCAACTACATTGAAAAAGGGTCAGGGTTTAGATTAGGTCAGTGCCTACCCTCCTGACTTGAGGGCTGTTGGGCACTGAGGCAGGCTGCTCCAAGCCTGGGTCCCGGAGTGGCAGGAGACCGGGCTGTCTGCCTGAGCGCGGCGAGCTTCGCCGGCCAGGGGCTGGGCGCCACCCGGCCAGGGCCCACCCTCTTCACTTGGACCGTCACTTAGGGCGGTGCCCTGTGGGTGTTGAGGCTGAGCCTGCCCTGGCAGCGTGCGCAGCCCAGGCCTTTCGGCCACGTGGAACCGATCATGAGCGCAACTGGACCGGCTTCCCAAGCGTCTGCCTGCGGGAGGCTCCCCGTGGAGAAGCTGCCCGACGTGAGCCCCGTGTCAGGCTGGTCGTGGCTGCGTGGAGGACAAGTGGGAGCAACCTAACGATATATTTATGTTACAGAATTAAACCGATTCTCTCAGTTCTTGGGTGACATCTCTGTTCCCCCCAGTTCAGGGTGAAGGAGCCTGTGTTAGGCACAGGAGGTGCGGCACTGGGGGACAGCTCTCGAGCAGCACGACACCCCAGCCCTGGTGAAGAAGGCACCATTCGGGACTGGCAAGGCCTTTGCAGTACAGCACTCACCCCTTTTATTTTTGACCAAAAATGCCCCCCAGTGAGGAACCAGAAGGCACAGTCAGCAGCGAGGCTATGGTCTCCCCCGTGCTGAGGCACCAGGGCCCCGTCACAAGACGCAGCTCGGACACGCTCCCCGACAGCTGCTCGGAGGCCGCGCCAGCCCCGCTCACTGCCCAGCTCCTCCCTGCGGGGACTGTCACCCAGCGAGCTGGGGTCCTTTTCCTCTTGCGGCGGCAGGGCCTGTGGCTGAAGGCCAGGCCCTGCTGCCGCGGGACTCGCCACTCTGCGTCCCCCAGGAGCAGGGGCCAGCCCCCTCCTGCCTCCCGAGGAGTCTGCAGCAGTGTGTGGGTGGCAGAGCGGCCTGGGGGTGGCGCCCAGCTCTCGCTGCCGACCCCACACAGGTCCCTGGGGCTCCCGGTGCCCTCATCTCAGCGCCAAGCTGTAGACGTGATAGATCTCTTCGCGGAGATTCTCCTGCCGCTCCTGGGCTAGGAGGCTGAGGCCGGCGCTGTGGATGATCCTGTGGACGACCTCGAGGTCCCGGCACACGCTACTGTCCACATCGTCCAGGATCACGCCCTCCTGGGCCATGTTGTCCTTGATGACGATGATGCCGTTGGGGCGCAGGCCCAGCTTGCAGCGCCGCAGGAACTCGGCCAGGTGCTGATCGGTCAGGTGGCCTGGGCGGGGGGGGGAAGGGCCGCGTCACCGGGGTGCTCAGGCCCTCACCCGGTGTCCACTCTCGGCCTGACATGGCCCAGCTCACGCGACAGCTACTAGCCTAGTTTGATAGGGGGCAGCTGCCCGAGGGGCACCCGCCCTCCCGGCCTGGCTGGGCGAGTACCGAAAGGGCGGGTGCCTTCTGGGGGCCACAACCAGCGAGTCCCCAGCAGGTGTGCGCCCTTACTGGGGCAGCTCGCCCCAATGCCGGGGCAGCGCTGTCCCCACGGGGGAACCCTGAGAGAAACTGACTGACTGGCCAGTTGAAGTTTTTCATCAAAAAATTACGCCCAACATGTGGTATTTGTAGGCAAATCAATAACAACTGACACTGAAAATCAAAGTTAATGCTAAAGACAAGACGGCACGTGAAGACCTAGTGCCACCGGCGTGAGCAGTCGCCAGGCTCCCACCTGGGGTCCAAGCCGGACCTGTCGCCCATGGCCCTGGGGCGCAGGGAGGGCGGGGACTCACCTATCACCCATTGGACCCAGATGACATCGTAGGCGCTGGGCTCGGGGCTGAAGTCCTGGAGGCCGCAGCAGAAGTAGTTCCTCACCCTTTTGCCCTCCTCGCCCAGGTAGGTCCTGGCTTTGACCAGAAAGTCCTCGGTCACGTCCACCATGTCCACCACGCCAAAGAGGGGCAAGAGCAGCCGCTTGGTGATCCTCCCGATGCCGGCGCCGCAGTCCAGGGCGCAGGAGGTGCCCGTCTTGTTGGGGCCGTCCTAGGGCGGGCGCCAGGGCCGTCAGGAGGTGGGAGGTTGGGAAGGCCGGTCCTCCCCTCCCCCAGAACCCCTCAGGTCAGGACCCGGCTGGGGGCTGGAACGGGGTGGGCACACTGACGGGGTGGGCGCTGCCATCTCCGGGCACGCTGCTGGGTGAAGGCCAGCTTCCACGTCAGGTGAGCCCGGGCGAAGGACAGTCGCCTCACTGCGACCCCAGCAGAGAATGGAAGGGGGTCCGGCGGGGGGCCACGGGCGAGCGGGCGCTCCAGAAGACAGGCCAAGAAGGCAGATGGGGCGGGCGCGGGAAGAGGCGGCCCCAGAGGCTCCAGCACGGAGACGCCGGCCTGGGCGCTGGGGGCGGGCACCGAGTGACCGGGAGCCAGCCCGGGCAGCACGGGCAACACTCACGGCTCCAGTGCCCACTGGCACAAGGGAACAGTTTAACGAGAGACGCTCCATTCTGGGGCCCGGACGGCCGCCCCCAGCAGCTGAGGCCCGGCCTGGCCAGTGGAAGCAAAGCCCACGCCGCCCACCCGCCCGGGCACGGGGACCTGAGGCCTGGGCAGCCCAGGGGACGGGGGCAAGCAGGGCCCCTCCTCTCCTGGAGGGCGCTCCCGACCGGCCTACCCTCAGAAACCTCTGCAGGAACTTCCGGGAGCTGCTGATGTCGATGCCGGAGATGTGGCCGTACCCCCCGAGCATGCCGTCCACCGTGGCCGGGACCTCCTTCCAGTACGTCTTGGCCTTCGAGTAGAACTGCTGCTCGTCCTCTATCACCTCGCTCGTCATGCCGCCGGCAGCCGGCTCCGCAGCACCAGCCTCAGCAGGGCGCCTGCTGGGAGCAAGCCGCTCGTCAGCCCGTGGGCCCCCCACCCTGCCCGAGGCAGGCGGCGGCCCAGCGTCCCCACGCCGGCTTCTCCCCGTGGCTGGCAGTGTCTTCCCGCACCCCGCAGGGCTGCCTCACTTCAGCAGGGCCCTCTTTCCTCGCTGACTGGGACAGAGCACCCCTACACCGGAGAGAAGGAAGCAGCCCCCTCCAGTGGCCACCCCAGCCGGTCTTGGGGAGACACAGCCCTGGGGGTCCGGCCCTTCGCTAAGGAGTAGGCCTCTGGGGCCAGGGCGACAGCGGACAGAGCACCCACGGCCCTGAGTCAGGGCGGCAGAGCCGTCGCCCCAGGGAGCTGAGTCAGCCAGGCCATCAGGGAAGGCGGCCGGGAGCTGACCACCACCATGGAGGCAGGAGCCAGCCTGGCACACGGAGGCGGGAGGCTGTGGCTGGCAAGTGGAGGTACCGGGGCCTCGCTCGGCCTGCACCCACAGAGCAGGAGCTGCACCCGCCCAGGGTAAGCGGGAGGGGGTGGGCGAGGGGTGGAGTGAGCCACAGGAGGCGCTCGCTGGGAGGCCGGTGGCTGGGGGGCTCCACAGGCCAGGCGTGGGCAGCAAGACCAAGGCGCCTGGACCCTCGGAGGCCAGCGGAACGCCCTCCGCCGCAGGCTGTGAGGCTGCAGAGCCGCGAGACCCCCAGAGTGGAGTGCTGAGGTGACTCAGAGGGTGGGGTGGGGTGACCCTAGGACTGCCCTTGCGGAGTGGGGAGAGTGGGGGTGGCAGAGGCAGACTCGCAGACAGGACACACAAGCACTCTGGGCACGGCCCGCGCTGGCCGCACGAGGACGGGGAGAGGCTGCGGGATGGGTGTGTGGGTGGCCAGAGGCCAGGCAGGCTTCTGAAGGGCAGTAGCACTCAGGGGAAGAGCAGGGTGTCAGGAGCCACCCTAGAAGTCGGGACCAGTAGCAGCTCATGCTCTGGCCCAGCACGAGGGCCCCTGGGAGGACGGGTCACCGCCCCAGAAGAGAAGCGCCTCACCCGAGTCACGAGGCCGCCACCTGCCGAGCCCTCGCTTGCCAGCCCTCCCCGCGCGGGGCGCAGTCCCACATGAAGGTGTCGGCCCGGGGTAGCCTCCTGGGAGGGCCGCCCGGAGTCCTGCTGCCTTCAGGACCCGTCTCTCCATCAGAGCCACATTTACTCTGTCCGCTCCACTGGCGTGGGGGCTGAGGAGGCAGGGGCTAGCCTGTTCACCAGTGTCCCTGGTCTCAGAAGAGAAAGAATCTTCCAGAAGCCGCAGGCCCACCCACCAGCCAAACTCAAGAAGGCGCCTAATGATGTCACGCTCAGCCCTCTCCAAAGCCCAGCCCCGCCTGGCAGCTTAGAAGCGGGGGGCCTTCTCGCGCCCCTCACGGTCATGGGCAGTCCTCATGGACAAGGTCATCAGGGTGTGCGGCGGGACCAGCAGGGAGCAACCGCACCTGTGCACCAACCTCCAGCTCCTCAGTCTGTGTTCCCACCTGCGGCAGCAGCCCTCACGGCGCCCAGATCCTTCCTCAGTCTCGAGTGGCTGGCATGCGGCCCCGCCCCTGCAGATGAGCCGGCCCTGCCAGGCTGGGGCCCTGGCTCTAAGAACTGCAGCCATGCTGGATCACTGCAGCCTCCCGCAGCACCCCGACCTGATGCTGTACTGGACAATGGTAGCCCCTGCTTATGAGAATGCACCCCCACTCCAGCCGTAAGTTCAAGGTGAGTCAAAGGTGGAAAACTGCTACGCCCCAAATGCTGGCTTGGAAAGGCAGGTGCCACTACAGCTCCCCAAAGCCTGTCACCATGTAAGCACGGGGGTCCCATATGAGTGGGTTCAGAAAGGGGTAAGGACCCCATGGGCCACCCAGGCCCTACCAACAGGCACACGGCAGCCAGGTGACACTCCTGCGCAGACGGGAGCCCAGCGACAATGCCCTGTCCACCTCACGCCCCCCAGTCCCAGCAAGCGTGGCACTCGGTAGCAAGCCCAGAGCTCCCAGAGAATGTGGCATCCTGAGACTCGTCTGCTTCCTCTCGCCTCCCACCGGCGCAAAGCATTCGGCAAAAGTTCACTTGCGTGTACTTGGAGGGAATACCTGGGACCAAGCCCAGCCTGGCTGCACACACGCTGCTGGCCAGCTTTCCCCAGAAGGTAAGTGTCCAGGGGCCAACGCTTTGCACACCATTAGCCCAGGACCTGACGGGGGTGGGTGCTACTAACTGCTAGGTTAATGGGCTGAGGAACAGGCTTTATGGAATGATATCCTTTCCCACTTTCAGCAAAACCCCCCAAAACCATCCACTGAAGTCCATTACTCCGCCAAAGCCTTCTCCCACGATTCCTTTAAATGTCAAGGCCTCCTAGGAACAAGCCGGGCAGACACATCTAGGCCAGGAAAGGGCAAGTCCAGCTTTGACATTTGCGTCAACACCTGGTTTAATATTAAATGATGACTGGGCCCTGTCTATATTGTGGCTCTTCCCAGTGTCCAGACGGGCATGGGCAGGAAGTGGCGGAGCCCCAGGAGCAGCGAGCTGTCCTTCAGGGAGCAGGCAGCCGTCTCCACACTCCAGATCATGGGGGGAGCTACTGGCCCTGGCTGGGAAGGGCCTGGACACCAGCTAGCCACGTTTCTCACCCCACGCGGAGAGAAGGGCAAGCCTGATCTCGACTTCCAGGATGTGTCTGTGCTTCCTTCATGGTTGCGCCAAGGTGTTTAGGGGACCAGCTGACAGCACCCCCACTACCCCTTCTTGTCTCCCAGGATTCCTGAGAGCCATGTCTGAACTCTCAGCATCAGCTCATCCTTCTCTTCTGCCAGTTCATGAGCCTGCCTCCTCCCTCGGCAGCCTGCTGGGCAGGGCCTGCATCTGAGTGGATAGTGGTGGACACATGAGAACAGCAGGGCAGTCTGTGAAAAAGGGGAGGGAGAAAGACCAAAACAGGGGAACTGTTTAAAACCAGGGTCGGATGGGTCAGATGAGGGGGGCTGTGAAGGCACAGGTCAGACACGGCACAGGGAAGGAAGCGTACTTATCTATACAATGGGCACCTGACAGGAAGGCTGCACCACCCGGGGTGCACACGGAAAGCGTGCAGCGAGCGTACAGGAGCCTCAGCCCCAGCTTAGAAACCTGTCAGACAACTCATCAACACTGCCGAGTGTAAACTGCAGCGTGCTGGACCCATGCAGGGATCATTACTGTTAAGCTGGGTGCTCAACCTGGGGGGCCCAATCAGCCTGGGCCAGCAGGGAGGGGTGCACTTTCCATCCGGGTAATCACAACCCCTGCAGATGCTGGGGAACTCTCTGGGGCCCACCCTACGGCTTCTGGTGTCCTGAAGATCATCTCACAGGCGGTACCTCCACCCCTCCCAGTCCATCAAGGAAAAACTCCATCAAAGGTGTGGGGGGGCCTTAAGACACACGGAGACAGCAGAGTGGCAGGGGACCCAGACAGCAGAGTGGCAGGGGACCCAGACGTGAGCTCTGTTCTCCCTAGGGCTGGCCCCTCTGACTGTGGGGCCGCCTGCCCCTCCCACACCACCGTCGGGGCGTCTGGCACCAGCTGATGCTATTCCTGGCGGGGTGAGAGCGACACCAGGGCCCCGAGGGCGCACACGCGGTCGGGCCGCCCAGCCGCACCGTCCACCTGACAGCCTCTTGTCAACAGCTGACCTTGACGCCAAGGGCTCTAGGCGACGCGCCCGCGTCCAGCCCCCACTGCGGGCACTGCCGCGCGCGGCGCCGCCTTCACATTTCACGGAATCCACGGAGAGGGCGCGCTCCTTACTTCGGGTTCTCACTGGGGAAACGGAGGCTCGGGAAAGGGCTTGTGGGGCCCGGGCCGGCTCGAGAGCGTGCCCCGCCGACACTGGGGTCCCCCTGCTCCCCGGCCCCGCCGCCCCGCGTGGCTGAGCCGTGTCCTCTCTCCGCAGGTACGTGCGCACCATGTACCTGGGCATCCAGAGCCAGCGGCGGAAGGAGCACCG